AATGTATCTGGTTTAAGATGAAATTCGGGCATTCATTTGCTATAGCACGTAAAAAAATACTTGAAGATCGAAATGCGATTAGCTTAATTACGTAAATCAAATATGTTTGAGCGTGTTTCGAATTTTAATTTGAAACTAATGTAAATTAAATTTTGGAACAACAATTTTTTTTACGACTTTTAACATTGTGCTCACTGTTTATATTTGTTTGAATGTGCACAGCAACCATTATTCCAGCTGCATCTTTGTATGTATCATATTACGTAAATTGTCATTCTGGAACAGACCGATGCAATGAATGACGTTAATAATTGTGTTACGTTTTTAGTGTAGAATTCTATGTCCGTATTTTTTGGAATTTATTAAAATACGAAACGAGGTCGTCACTGTGCTTCATTGAGTATGCATGCAGGCGTTTTAACCTCGACTCTGCAGGTCCAGGTGCAAGGCCAACTTGCTCTCCGCGCGAGCTTTGCTCCGTGGGATCCCTTGTTGTGTTGGACTGCAGGGCCGTCTGGAAATCCTTGCCCTTGCTGCGTGTCGAACCCCGGTCTTCCAGTCTGTAGCCAGCCACTTTACTGTCTAAGCTGTCTAGTCTTTACTGTATTTTGGGTTTTGCTTGTTCCCTTCACATAATTGCGTGTTTCACTTCTAAAAATTACAAGTTTATTCTTCCATCAGCTTTGAATATGATAATTATGAATTTGTCTTAATTTTTCTTATTAATACAAATGGTTCGCGTGTCTGTTTTACCGGCAGCTTCTGTGCGCACGCGCGTGGCTGTTTTACCGGCAGCTTCTGTGGGCCTGCAACTTGTTTGCTATTTACGTAGTAATAAAATGAGGGGAATATCGTAATATGGATTTGTAGCACGGTCGGGAGATAACAAATTTGTGCAGAATTTCGGCGGGGATGTCTTTTTTGTAAATGCGACCTTGGGAGACCACGAAGAAAATGGAATGTTGCCATGGCGACTGATTTTAAGGGGATGAGTTACGAGGATTGGAAATGGAGCTCAGATTCGGTTCTAGTAGCTAGCCGTCGTATTAGCAGAGTTTGTTGTTGTCATTTGTGACACGTGCCATGTCGTTAATTCTTTGCGTTGGAATCTTCCGAGTGTCACGAATTATTGTCAAATATTTTGTGCCATTGCGAAATGAAGTCTGAAACGTAGCCAGCAAGTTTTATTTGATACAGAGATTTTGTTTGTTATTTTTTTGGTGTTCAGTTTTTCGAAACGAACACAAATGCGCTGATTATTGTTCCTATTTTGTTGCGATAATTGTTGCATCACAACAAGTGTGGTTGTGTGTGCATTACTGATAGAATGTGGAAGGGATCTGGCATGGAAAATTACGTGCCGGATGACAGCCAACACGAGAGCCTTCAGTGTTCCTTTCTGCTTATCAAGCTACCAATAAAAGAGTTGTAGAAGTGGTCAGACAGTTCACGGTTGCTTGAACTGGAATACTACTGTTGTACTCTTCATGGTATAAACGGCGACCTTATTACGTGCAGTATGATTCCACTTCGTTGACTTTAATGTATGCAAATATTATGTGGTATGAATACACTTTACTATATGAAAGAGACATTTGTTTACCAGATTCCAAGGTTGCTTCTAAAAGTATGCAAGTTTTAAAACCGCCTGTACATTTTTTTTTTTGGAGGGGGGGATGACAGAGACGACTTTCGTGATACGTAGGCATTCGCCTGTAATTAAAACGTGTGAAAATGCCAGAAGAATTTGAACTATGGCTTTGAAAACACTGGGCCTATTATCAAAGCCACCGAGATCCGAAACTCATTTAAATATTTAGGAATTCAGTCCGTACCGCAAAGAAAACACAACATTTCACCGTTTAAAAGACCAACTGGTTAATGCTGTTTGCTGTGAGAAACACACGAAACCCGTAACATACACTCTGTGGGAAAAATACAGAATTTTTATCGTTAATGCAGGTGGTACATATAGTTACCACTGGATAGTAAACGGTTGAGCACCTTAACGTGACGTTGTATGGAGGATTGGAGGCAAAGCTGAGACTGCTGTAGCAAATTAAAATAGTTTATAATTAAATTTGTAAGATAAGACCTTCGAAATGAATGCCGACGTATAATTGAAATCGTATTACTTTTTTTAAAACGACAGGTTGAAAATTATTTTAATCCCTTGTATGAATTCGGAAGTTAATATTTCTCTCGCTGAGTTAGGAAGTTTTATTGAGCGTGTTTTGAAACAAAGTCATGTAGAAATCTGTTGACCTGGAACAGAATAGCATAATTGAGAAAATTATGTACGTAGATGATAGAAACACAGATAAGGGAAATATGTTGCAATATATGAAGTAGATTTAAGTGACTTAAGATTGAATCCATTGGGTTCAGTAAAAGTAGGTAATTTCTTGAATAAATTAATTAATGCGATCTGCAGGGTGCTAACAGGGTTCCAGAATTGGTTTATTGGTAGAGTTTATTTTTTATTTTTTGTCAGTTTTGTTGTGAGCATGTGCATAATTTCATGCACAGCGCATGTGTACGTGTACGTATGTGTATCGTCGGTTACTTCTGACCTAGATAATGATTCCGATTCCGTTCACTGCTGGAAGATTTAATAGACTTTTTCCAGAGTGTTATATGCACGTATCCAGAACTTCGTGACAGTTCTCGTCTCATTACTTTTGTTGGTCGAAACGTCGAGGGCGTAAAAGGCTTTTAACAGTGAAGCCACCGTAAGCCGAATACCATTTACTAAATTAGTGTACTCTGGTACAGTTTCTTGATCCTGCAAAATGGGAAATTGTAGTGTTGTGTTGATGAAAATTCATTAAATTCATGTT